AGCTGGAGTGGGGCAGGTGGAGGGGGGAGCTGGAGGGGGGAGCTGGAATGAGGGGGGTGGAGGGGGCAGGGGATGAGGAGGACAAGAGGGGAGCCTCTTCAGAGCAGGGACCCTTCCTGATGGAGGTGAGGGATAGTGTCCCCGCTGTCACTGTGAAGTGTGCTACAGTGGTTCAGGCACCCACTCTCCGGGTTGTCACAGGATTGAAGGAGGGTGCATGGCACAGCGTGAGTGCCCAGTGAGGGTGGTCATGACCGTAGATGGCACCCAGCAGCGCTTGCTCAGTGGATACTTGTCTCTGGGGAAGCTGGGGAAGTGGGGAGGGGGTATGGAGTTTGTTTCTGAGGCTCCATTGGGGCAGGAGGGAATCTGGCTGGCGCCCCCACAGCGGAGGGGGCGGGGGCGGGGGGGGGAACCACAGGGCGGAGCCGGGGAGTGGCCTCTTACCTGTCCTGAGCCTGGCCTGGAGGCTGGGAGGGGTGCATCAGGCCTCCAGCGCCCTCCCTGCTCTGTGACGCAGGGCCCCAGGCGCACACAGGCCTCACACGGTCTGTCCTGGCCTCGGACCCGGGCGGACCATGGCGGCGCTGCGGCTCCTGGCTTCAGCACTCGGGCGCGGGGTCCCCATCGGTGGCTCAGGGCTGGCGCTGTCCCAGGGCTGCGCCCGCCGCTTTACCACCAGCCCCCGGCACCGCGCCAAGTTCTACAGGGACCCAGTGGAGATGGTGAAGGACATCCCTAACGGGGCGACCGTCATGATGGGGGGCTTCGGGCTCTGCGGGATCCCCGAGAACCTGATCGCCGCGCTGCTCAGGACCCGCGTGAAGGACCTGAAGGTGGTCAGCAGCAACGTGGGCGTGGAGGACTTCGGCCTGGGCCTCCTGCTGGCCACCAGGCAGGTCCGCCGCATCGTCTGCTCCTACGTGGGCGAGAACTCGCTGTGCGAGAAGCAGTACCTGGCGGGCGAGCTGGAGCTGGAGCTCACGCCGCAGGGCACCCTGGCCGAGCGCATCCGCGCGGGGGGGCGCCGGGGTGCCCGCCTTCTACACCCCCACGGGCTATGGGACCCTGGTCCAGGAAGGGGGCGCCCCCATCCGCTACACCCCGGACGGCCACCTGGCGATCATGAGCCAGCCCCGAGAGGTGAGGGAGTTCCACGGCGACCACTTCCTTTTGGAGCGCGCCATCCGGGCGGACTTCGCCCTGGTGAAAGGCTGGAAGGCCGACCGGGCAGGAAACGTGGTCTTCAGGAGAAGCGCCCGCAATTTCAACGTGCCCATGTGCAAAGCCGCAAACGTCACAGCAGTGGAGGTGGAAGAGATCGTGGACGTGGGGACTTTCCCCCCAGAAGACATCCACGTCCCTAACATTTATGTAGATCGCGTGATAAAGGGGCCGAAATATGAGAAGCTAATCGAGCGCTTAAGGATCTGGAAAGAGGAAGGTGCAGACGCCCTGAAGGAAGAGGACCCCAGGACTCGCATCATCAGACGCGCAGCTCTGGAATTTGAGGACGGCATGTACGCCAACCTGGGCATAGGCATCCCCCTGCTGATCAGCAACTTCATCAGCCCCCACATGACCGTCCACCTTCACAGTGAGAACGGGATCCTGGGCCTGGGTCCGTTTCCCACAGAGGACAAGGTGGATCCCGACCTCATCAACGCAGGCAATCAGATGGTCACAGTGCTTCCCGGGGGCAGCTGCTTCGCCAGCGACGACTCCTTCGCCATGATCCGAGGTGGACACCTCCACCTAACCATGCTCGGAGCCATGCAGGTTTCCAAATACGGAGACCTGGCCAACTGGATGATCCCTGGCAAGAAGGTGAAAGGCATGGGCGGTGCCATGGACTTGGTGTCCAGTCAGAAGACCAGAGTGGTGGTCACCATGCAGCACTGCGCAAAGGACAACACCCCCAAAATCATGGAGAAATGCACCATGCCGCTGACCGGGAAGCGGTGTGTGGACCGCATCATCACTGAGAAGGCTGTGTTTGACGTGCACAGGAAGAGAGGCCTGACACTGAGGGAGCTCTGGGAGGGCCTGACGGTGGACGACATCAGAAAGAGCACGGGCTGTGACTTTGCCGTGTGCCCGAACCTCAGGCCCATGCAGCAGGTTGCACCCTGAGGGAGGCGAAGCTGGGCGGGGAGGTGCGCTCCTCAGGGGGCCCCACTAGGTTCCCCAGGGGCGTTGGTCACCGCAGGAATACATTTCCCCAGCGATGGGAGGGGTTTGCTGCTGGCCTCCAATTTTCCTCCCTAGGCGGATTGTGCTCTTCTAGAGAGCTGGGACTTTAATTAAACACACAAGGAAAACAGATCACCTTCTCTCTCTGTTCCTCGAGCATTGCAAGGAGAAGGGCTGTAGCGGTGAGGGATGGGTGTCTGCTTTGTTCTGTGACATTTACATGGAGTGCACACAGCCCAAGCGCATCCATGGCAGGATTTCATTCAAGCGCCTCCCTCAAACTCGAACTGTGAAATGGAGATAAAAATCGTGATGAAGGAGAAAATCACTCCACCCAGAGTACACTGAAAGGGCCATTTTACTATTGCAATGAGAAATAGGAGAGCCAAGATGTGAATTTGTGATTTGAAGACATGCTGTCTTGACAAACTTGTTTTTCTTTTTTGAGGCAGGGTCTGGCTCTGTCACTCAGGCTGGAGTGCAGTGGTGTGATCTCACTGCAACCTCTGCCTCCTGGGCCCAGCAACCCTCCCACCTCAGCCTCCTGAGTAGCTGGGACTATGGGCACACACCTGTGTATTAAAAAAATTAACAATGCCTGGTTAATTTTTTGTTTTTGGTAGAAATGGAGTTTCACCATGTTACCCAGGCTGGTCTCTAACTCCTGGGCTCAAGCATCAACCTGCCTCAGCCTCCCAAAGTGCTAGGATTATAGACGTGAGCCACCGTGTTGGGCCAATTAACCTTAACTTACTGTAATTTCTTTTCTCTTCTTTTTTTTCTTTTTTTCTTTTTCTTTTTTTGTTTTAAGACAGAGTCTCATTCTGTTACCTAGGCTAGAATACAGTGGTGCAGTCTCGGCTCACTGCAACCTCCGCCTCCCAGGTTCAAGCAGTTCTGGTGTCTCAGCCTCCTAAGTAGCTGGGATTATAGGCATATGCCACAACAGCTGGCTATTTTTTGTATATATATTTTCAATAGTAGAGATTGCATTTTACCGTATTGGCCAGGCTGGTCTCAAACTCTGGGCCTCAAGTGATCCACCTGCCTCAGCCTCCCAAAGTGCTGGGATTACAGGTGTGAGCCACCGCACCTGTACTTCTTGAATGTTTTCATGTTTTATCTCCCCTGATGTTTCTTCTGGTGCCTTTGTTGTTAAATCAGGTTTCCCTGTAGCCTCCCCTCCTCCTCCCACATCTCTCCTCCTGGGACCTAATGAGATATCAAGCTTCTAGATGTCCCTAGAAGGAAAATAGGACCATCTTCAAGGGAAGGCACCAGGTGATGGGAGACAGAGTGGGGAGAGACTGTGGGTGCTGAAATCCACCAGGAAGCTTCCTCTATCTGTGTGTGGTCAAAGGCTACAGCCTAGGACAGGAGTTCTAGAACCCTAACCAAGGGACTAGATGAGTTTTCTCAACTTCATTTGAATTGTTCCTGTGTCATCTAGACCAGACACTTAGACCTTCCTCTCCGGAACAGAGGCCCAAACTGGCCTCTTGTGTGATGCTCTGTTGTAACCCAAGAGGCTGTGAGGCATTTCCTCCTGAATCCATAGTCTCAAAACCTAAAATGAAGATAAGATTCTGTGCGTGCGTGCGTGCGTGTGTGTTGTTGACAACCAAGCCTGGCATGTGGCATGAACTGCTTAAGTGTAGCTCTGGGGGTTCCCAGGCCAATAGGGGCATGTGGTCAGAGCAGTTAAGTTCTCACTGGTCAAGGACAGACTTTCCAAGGGGCTCACTGGAGCCTCGCCCTGCAGGAAAGGCCAGATCCTAGGAAGCAGAGAAGGGAAGGGAGAGTTGGTGTTCATGGAGGGGACAGCCTGGGGGTGTTGGAAAGGGGCCTGGGACTATGGCTGGGGTGGGCAGTGGGGTGCCTTTTGGGGCTCCTGGAGAGGGCCACCTGATTTGCCCTGGGCGTCAAAGAGTTTCCCAGCGCAGTGTGGAAAAGGCTGAGGTGTCTAGGAAAGGACAAGTGACCCTCTGGGCCTCCACCTCTGCCTTTCTGGAAGGGGTCTGCCCACAGCTGGGCATCCTGGGAGCCCACTACCTGGACTGCCTGGCCTTCTCTGCAGCCGGCTAGAACCAGGGGGTCCTGCCCGAAGATGGGTGGGCAAAAAGCTGAGCTGGTGGAGAAGGGAGGCTCTGGGCTCTGGAAGGAGAGGGGTGGAGGTGGACGAGCTTCTCCGGGCCTGCCAGATGCAGAGCTCTGAACTGAGACCCACTGTTAGTCCCCTTTCACCGCCTCCCATTTCCCCTGAGCCACATCCTGCCAGGCCCCTGCAGTGTGCTGGGAAAGTGTATGACAGTCCTGGCTCTGACCCACCTTGCTCTGGGACCTTGGACAGTTGCTGCTCTCTGGGCCTTAGTTTCCACTTCTGTAAAATGGGAACCTGGGATTAGCTGCTTCCAAGAGTCCCCAGTCAGGCTCGCCTGGCCTGTGAGACCTACAGAGGGGTTCCTAGAACCCACGTCAGGCCTGGCTCACAGGGGCTCTGTGAGGGTCTATGGTGTAACTGATCTAATGTGACATTCTATCCTGCATCTGGGAGACCCCCATAAGACTCCTGAACACAGCCCCACAATAGCAAATAGTGAGCAAAGCCTGTGGGACTGATGGCCTCCCTGGCCCCATGGCCACCAGGGCTCCCCAGGGAATCAGGACAGAGCCGCACGTACAGCCAGGAGGGCTGCCCTGGGCCCCAGGCCGTCCCCATGTGTCAGTCTGCAGAGTGCCGCTCCTGTACCTGGCTGGTGACCATTGCCATCCCGCTTGGCTGCTCTGTCCTCTCCCCATTGTGGCCTCACTTGCCTTTTCCTGTGTGCCCAGTTCTGTTCCTTGTAATTCTGCCGCTTCCCCATAACCTTGTCTTACCGTGAGCCGAGCTCTGTCCAGTGCTCTCTGGGCCTCCTTCCCGTCAGCACCTGCAGCTCACAGCCTCCGTCTCGGCAGCTCTTCTCCACGCTCCTGAGAGACAGCCTCTCCTGCCAGTGAATTTTTCTGTGGCAGGTGATGTTACAGATCAAAGATTGGTCTCTGGGTTCACTGGTTGTTCAATCAAGTGGCCAAGGGACACGGGGGCTGAGGCACAGCTGCTTCAGGGCTGACCTTTGAGTGGGACTGAGGGTGGGGCAGGCAATGTCTTTGGCCTGTAGGGTGTACTGGAGAACCACGTAGGAATAAATACATCTGTATGTGTAATGTCTAAGCATATGTACATCTGTGTTTATACGGACACACATATATGCATGTGTGTACATATGCATGTACATCTGTGCTTGGAGGTGAAATGTGCTCTCATGTAAACTGAACAATTGGCACAGTTTAAAGAGACATGAAAATGAGCTGGCAATCATGCTTTTGCAACTCAGCATCAGGAAATTTCACCCATGCACAGAGTGAAGAGGCTCCATTGCACTCCCATCTTTATTGTGAAAACCAGGAAATAACCCACATGTCTAATCATGAGCCAATATCAAGTAAATTATGATATACTACTCCAAGGGAGTTTATACATTTGAAATGTTTATTGTGAAGACTTCTTTGAACAATGAGTTTTGTGGTTTTTTTTTTTTTTCTTGAAACAGAATCTCACTCTGTCGCCCAGCTGGAGTGCAGTGACACAATCATAGCTCACTGCAGCCTCAACCTCCCAGGCTCAAGCAGTCCTTCCACCTCAGCCTCCTGGGTAGTTCACTACCATGCCCAACTAATTTTTGTTATTTTTTTGTTGAGACAGGGTCTTACTATGTTGCCCAGGCTGGTCTCAGATGCCTGGGTTCAAGCAATCCTCTCACCTCGTCCACTTAAAGTGCTGAGATTATAGGCGTGAGCCACCTTGCCTGGCCTCAAAACTTTCTTAATTGCTTTTACAATAGAAAGGTTATTTAAATCCAAACAAGTACAGGAGGATCACAGGTTTATTGGTGAGATTGATGTCTCCAGGGTTAGTTACCATGTTTTTAGCGGCATCCTCAGTCTGGAAGTGGCAGTGGAGGACAATTCCGTTTACAAGCTTCGATCCTCCTGGGGCTGAGGTCCAAGTCAGCTCTCTGCTTCAGCCTTTTCTTTCTTTCATTTTGTACCTAAACCCAGCCTTGTACAGAAGAACTTGGGCTCTGGAATGAGACTACTGCAGGCTGAAACTTGGGCTCTGGGACTTGGTTCCAACAACTCTGCTCCGCCAGTGCCTCCCTTGTGGGCATCAGGGAAATAGTTCATGCCCTGCTCTTGGCATGGGCAAGCACTCCCTAACTTGGCAGATGCTGCCACAAGCTGTCTCGGTCATAAATTTGATGTTCATATCCCAGAAAGTGCAGAACAGAAGACAGGGCTTGGGGTCCTCGGACCGAGGTGGGAGCGCTGGTTCTGGGAGTCACTGGCAGTGGTACTCTGGGTCTCCTGTGAGATAGGAGCTGCAGGGTTACTGTAAGGACCCAATGAGGTGATCTGTGGGAAAAAAAAATCTTCCAACTCATAAAGTGCTTCATAAATGTCTGTGTCACAGCTGTCGCTAATGACGCCGCCTGCAGCTCACTGAGGCCCTCCCCTTCCCCCACCTCCTCCAGATCTGCCCCAGGAGAGATGTGGACTGGCCAGGGCTGGACCAAGGGCTCCAGTCTTCAAATGTGGAAACTGAGGCTCAGCAGGGCCCTTGGGGTCCTCAGCCTTCACACTCCTGGACCTGCCCAGGCCCGGCAGAGAGATCCCTGCTGTGTCCGCTGCAGGCCCATTGCCCATGAGTGACCCCTCTCTCCTTTCTGTCTCAGGGCACAGCGTGGATCCTGGCCTGGCCGGCCTGCTGGGCCAACGGGCCCCCCGCTCCCAACAGCCTTTCGTGGTCACTTTCTTCAGGGCCAGTCAGAATCCCGTCCGCATCCCTCGAGCAGTGAGGCCACTGAGGAGGAGGCAGCCGAAGAAAACCAACGAGCTGCCGCAGGACAGCCGGCTCCCGGGCATCTTTGGTGAGGGCCGGGCGGGCTGGGGCTGAGGCCCTGCAGGCTTCTGGCTGAGAGAGGCAGGGCGAGAACCAGGAGGTGGCCCAGAGCCCTCGGGCTCAGGTCGGTTCAAGCTGATGGCCACTCTGCAGCCCCCTTCCCTGACACCATCTTTGCCCTGATGCACCCTGGTGACCCGCACTCCAGAGGCCTGTCTTGGCTGTCCTGGCTGTCCCTGCCACCCAGAAGGCCCCTTCTCTCCCTCCCCTAGCTCCTCCAGGTCTTTCCCAGGAGCCTCCATCAGAATCGGGTACCCCTTCCTGGGCGCCGAAGCCCCTCGTTGCCCGCAGTTGTGCCCGGGCACCCTGCAGGACCCTCGGCTACTTATGCAAAGTTTTCTCCCCAACTGGGCGAAGCCCTTCAGGATCAGGGACAGGCCTGACCCGACCCTGTGCCCTCCTTCCCAGGGAGTCAGCCCTGACTGGCCTGGTTGTAAGCCACTTGAACCTGAGGAATGGGTGTGGCAGGAGAGGGTGGGCTGGAGGCACAGGGCTCTCCAGAGAGGAGGCGGCGGCACAGGATGGCCAAGGGTCCTGCTGGGCTGTTTACTGGAGCATCAAGACGCTCACAGGCTGAAGGATGGGAGGGCTGGGCACAGTGTCACTCTAACCACTGGGAGCCATGGCAGGCTCTTGAGCTGGGTCATGGTACAAGCAGAGTTCCAGGGATGGGCTTTATGAGACCAAATGGTTTCCTGTCATTCATTTGACAAATGTGCTCATCAGGGGGTCCTCCACCCTGGTAACCCGCAGCAGCTGCACAGAGCAGGAACCCCAGAAAAGACCTTGCTCCTTCTGTCCCTACAGATGATGTCCACGGCTCCCACGGCCGGCAGGTCTGCCGTCGGCACGAGCTCTACGTCAGCTTCCAGGACCTCGGCTGGCTGGTAAGTGCTGACTCTGGTCCTTGTTTCTGAAATGACAATCGCCACCTGTGGAGCAGAAGGGAATCTGCAGGGAGCACATAGATTTCAATCTTCTTACGTATTTTTTTCTTGTGTGTTTTCCAAGTTTTCTAAAGTGAGAACATGGTGAGAAACGGCGTTTTATTTTATAACCATGAAAATGAAGACTGCAACTAAGCTGTTAGCATTGCCCCAGGGAAACTGAGGCCAGGGTGGCAGTGCCTCCCTGCTCAGCCCTGTCTGCTGTGGGTTCCTGGGCATATTCAGGCCTCGGGGGAAACTGCCCTGCAGGGCCCTGAGGCTCGGGGGGATCAGGGGCAGCCCTGGGCCATCCTGTGGCAAGTCCTCTGACAGGATTGGGGGGGCTTAGAAGGGGCACGTGGATGGGACTCACCTTCTCCCATGCCCCCCAGGACTGGGTCATCGCCCCGCAAGGCTACTCGGCCTATTACTGTGAGGGGGAGTGCTCTTTCCCGCTTGGCTCCTGCATGAATGCCACCAACCACGCCATCCTGCAGTCCCTGGTCAGTACGGTGCCTGTCCTACCCAGTTCCCTGGGGTGGGGGGCCCTGCGGAGAGGGGTCTGGTCCAGCCAACCGGGAGGGCAGGGAGGGCACCTGCTCCATGTCTCAGGGAGCTTCCTCTGCACAGTCAGTAACGTCACCAAATTCCCACAGCTCTGCAGGACCTGGTCCTCATATAGCCATGCCAGCCCACGTAGACTCACACCTGAACACAGACACACCCCACACTGACACTAAACAGCCATGTACAAGCACCTGTTCTACGCACCACACATGCTCCTGTGGGACACTTATGCACCTGTGTGCGGTGCCCAGAGTGACAGAGGCACAGCACATGAAATGGACGTGCACGCCGTGTGGGGACTGTGATCTTAACACGCGGGCACCTGAGTACACTGGCAAGTCTGCCCACCCAGGATATGTCACACAGCATGAGGGACGTGCGTGTGCATTCACCCACCTGTGCCACACCGCAGGCAGGGAGCGTCTAGATGGTGTGGCTCTCTACCCTTTGGCTCTCTACCCTTTGGCTTTTCCCCATTTCTCTCTTGGCTGTTTGTGTTTTCTCCAGATCCCCTGGCTTTTGGTGCCTCAGTGTCTGGGGCAACCTTAAATGATGAAAGCGGCTTCTGATGGGATCACTGGTGCTGCTCACTGCTGAGTGCTCTGTGTGTTTGCAGATTCTGGCACCCAGGCTTCCTTCTAGAAATTTTTACCTAGAATCTTAGTTCCTGGTATTCCATAGCCTTATGGTTTGCTCGTAGAAGGTTGTTAAAAGGCAATGCCTTCCTGTGGGAGGAAAGGAATTACCAAAAGCGGCTCTGAGCCTGTGATAACACTTCCTTTCTAGGTGGTCAAATGGTGTTTGCTGGACACCTGGATCCGCCTCCTTGGAAAGAAAGGCTCAGGGGTGACAAGGACAGGTGTGGCAGCCTGGCCCAGCCACTCTTTATGCTGTGTGGTTCTCACTGCTGCATGTGTGGGAGGCACACGTGCAGCGGCTCCCAGACTCCATCCCCTCTGCCCTTGCTCCTGTTGTTGCCCCTCAGGGACTTAACTAAAGTGAGCGCTCACAACCTGCTGGGCAGCAAGCAGACAGGCACTGCACTCTAGGGGAGGCTGCTGGTTTGTTGGTTTGTCTAAAGCAAACCAACCGTGGAGCTGAAGCCTCCTGTGAGGAAGAGCAGAGCAGCTGCCCTGTCAATGAAGTGAAACTGGGCCCGGCCTCTCTCTGCACAAGGAAGGGCACATCAGCAGCTGGAGGAAAAACGTTTCAGCAGAAGGAGCAAGTGCAAGGCCCTAAGACAGGAGTGAGCTTGGCAAGTTCAGGCCAGCAGGGAGGAGGGACTGGGTGCAGTGAGGGGGAGGAGGGTAGAGGGTGGAGGGAGGTGATGCCCATGTGGGCAGGGCCGCCTCCTCTAGAGTCTGGGGGTCCCTGGGAAGGAGGGTGGATTTTATTCCAAGTAACCCAAGAGGCTGTTGGAGGTCTTTAGCAAAGCAGTGTTCTGGTCCACATCACCCTCCAGAAGGACCTCTCTCTGGCTTCTGCAGGAGGCTCGGGTAGGGGGGTCGGCAGTGGAAGGTGGAGGAGCAGGGTATGAGTGAGGGCTGCTGTGATCACCTGGCAGGTGATGGCAGCTGGACTGGGCAGGTGGTCCGAGGCAGCACAGAGGTTGAGCCTAGGGGACTGCTCCCAGGAAAGGGAGAAGGGCAGAGGAGGCGTCCAGGAGGCCTCCCAGGCAGGGCTGTGATGTCAGGGTGGGAGGAACTCGGTGCCCTGTTAGACCCTAAGTGCAGAAGTGGGGAGGGGATCAGGATTCACAGGTCTGGAGAGCAGCACAGGAGAGGGACCAAGGCCTGGGCTCCAAGAGCCTGGGGAGGGAGGCGGGGTATGGGAGGCGGAGCCTCTGGGTCCAAAGGGCCAAAAGAAGGAAGTCCTTCCAGGCTCCCTGTCGGGGACCTCACTAAGGCACAAACCTGGCCATGCGGTTCTCCTTCCCATCATCCCCAGGAGGAAGTCTGAGCCCTTGGCCTGGGAGCGCCCTGCCCACCTGCCCCACAGGTGTCCTGCCATGTGTCCTTCCCTGGGCACTGCTGGTCACCACGGCTCCTGCTCCCAGAGCCCAGAGGGCTGCTCTTATACCTGTGAATAGTTATTATTATTGTGCTGCTCCCATGTGGCCTGGAGATGGCCAGGGTGGGGAGCAGGGGGAGCTGGGGTGGGGCTGGGTGGGTCCTCGGAGGCGGCCACTGGACTCATGCCCCTGCCTGTGTTCCCCTCCCTGGCCAGGTGCACCTGATGACACCAGACGCAGTCCCCAAGGCGTGCTGTGCGCCCACCAAGCTGAGCGCCACCTCCGTGCTCTACTATGACAGCAGCAACAACGTCATTCTGCGCAAGCATCGCAACATGGTGGTCAAGGCCTGCGGCTGCCACTGAGCCCAGCCCGCCCACCCTGCTGCAGCTGCCCTTCTCATCAGATTGGGCCCCTCAGAAGCAGGAAATCTTCAAACCCAGCCAGACCCCAAGCTGGGGTGTTACCAGGGAGGACCCTCACAATCGTGTCCATGCCCCTTCCTCCTTCCTGCCAGGCCCCTATGCTCCCTTTGCCCTGCCAGGTGTTTGTGTGACTGTCCTGTCTCCAGCCCAGGTGGTTTCAATCAACAGGCAGTGTTCTACCCAAACCCCTCCCCCAGAGGCATGTACTGGCCAGTTCTTTGGGGTTGGCACAGAAGTCCTGTCTAAGGACCTATACATGCCCCTTACTGGCCCAGGCCGTGGGGTGGATGTGGGATGACCTGAGAGGCACCTGGAGCCCACTGTTGGCCACCTTGAGCTCTTCACCATCCATCACAGGGTGTGGTATGTGTAGTCAGGGTCTAGTTGGCTCCCCATTGCCTGCCCCTCTGAGGTGCAAGGCTAGGTATAAAACTGGACATCCCCTGAAGTACTGTATATTCACGAATCTGAAGTACTGATCCACTGGCCACAGGTGGGCATTTGGTCAACTCAAGAAAAAGCTGAGTGAACAACATGATTTAGTGCTAAAGCCAATGGCATTTATCTTCCTTGTCTTCCTGCTTTGCATCTGCCTCTGCTATCTGGGAAAGACATATAGTGCATGGACATTTTGCTTTGGAGAAACAGAGAAATCTCGGGGGGTTCCAACAGACCCATCTATCTTCCACTATGTTGACGCATCTGGAGCTCAGCTCTGTGGAGTTTTCCTTTTGCTGAGCAAGCATGCGGTTGCATTGGGTGGCCCAGGATGGCAACATGCAGCATAGATGCCATCATTTCGCTTCCCCTCTGCATGGCAGACATCAATAATCTGGTTTTTTTTTTCTTTTCTTTTTTTTTTTGGAGACAGAGTCTCGCTCTGTCGCCAGGCTGGAGTGCAGCGGTGCTATCTTGACTCACTGCAACTCTGCCTCTCAGGTTCAAGCAGTTCTCCTGCCTCAGCTCCTCCAGTAGTTGGCATTACAGGCGCACACCACCGTACCCAGCTAATTTTTGTATTTTTGGTAGAAATGGGGTTTCGCCATGTTGGCCAGGATAGTCCTGATCTCTTGACCTCATGATCTGCCCACCTCGGCCTCCCAAAGTGCTAGGATTACAGGCATGAGCCACTGCTGATCTGGAATGTTTTTCTTCCAAATCTGAATGGAATTTTCAAATGATCGGCACAGCCACTGCCAACAGATAAAGTTGATATGAAGTGAAAACTGGTTGCCTTCTGCCATGCTGAGGAGCAGTCCACCCCCACCAGAGCAATGTATCGGCAACATGGGCAGCCTGTGGCCAGGTCTGGGGTGAGACCAGGGGCCGTCAAAAACACGCTGGTCACCAAAGTTAGCATCACCCTGAGTGCCCAGCAGCCCTATCCTGTGTCTTCGGCCTATGAGTCAAAGAAAAGGTCCCAGGGAGTGACAGGCAGTAATTAGGCTGAGTTGGGTGGGGAGGTTTGTTTCAGCCTCTGCTCTTGGAAACTGCTGTTCTCCTTGGAGCAGCCACTGGAAGTTGGAATGTTTATTTGATTTTTGACTTGCTAAGCCTGTAATTTACCTGCTGGAACAGACAGAGTCCTGCTGCGCAAACCATGTCATTAAAAGCAGATCCTGAGCCCATCCCATCCACAGGCACAGCCTGGCATGGTGATTCCATCTCCCCATGTGCCCAAGGATGCGCCTCTCTGGAGTTCACACGCTGCATCCCTAGGGATGGGGGCAGGGGTGAGCTGGTCTGGCAGCAGGGGTGGAGGCTGGAGCCATGCTGCAGGACAGCAGCCCCTCCACTCAGACCAGGGAGGGCATCTGTGTGCAAGCATGGAGGATGAGACCTTCCCATGTACCCAAAGGGCGGGCCCAGGCTGTCTGGAAGGTGGCAAGTTCCCTATCAGCACAGGGATCTCAGCCCTGGCCTGGATGTGAGACCTGACTTGTAGGTGGCTTCCTTATCTGGGTCTCCATTTTCTGTAACATGAGGGAATTGCACTTTGTGATCTCCAAATAACCTTCGGCCAGAGAATCTACCAGCTCCTCACAGTGAGCCAGAAGCAGCCTTATAACCCTGAATGTGGGACTCCAGTGGCTGTCACGAAGCAGAGTTGGCACATAACATGGAAACTGGCCAGGCACAGTGGCTCACACCTGTAATCCCAGCACTTTGGGAGGCTGAGGCAGGCAGATCACCTGAAGTCAAGAGTTCAAGACCAACCTGGCCAACACGGTAAAACCATGTCTGTACTAAAAATACAAAATTACCCGGGCGTGGTGGTACGTGCCCATAATCCTAGCTGCTCCGGAGGCTGAGGCAGAGGTTGCAATAAGTGGAGATCACATCATTGCACTTCAGCCTGGACGACAAGAGCAAAACTCCTGTCTCAAAAGAAAACAAAACTATGGAACCTATCTGCCATCTATTAGGAACTATTACCTAACAGTTCCTTCTTCTCAACATCAAAGATGGTCTTTTAGGCAACTGTAGATTTCAAATTAGCCAGTTATTTTGACGGCAAATTTTTTATTCCACCTGTATCTTTTGTGCCCAGCCAATGATCTGGCATAGTCGGGGTGTACCAAGAACGTCTGTTAAAGTACACAAAGGTTTGTAGATATGGAGTACACCTTACCCATTAATCAAGCTGTGCACAGCAGGAGCCAATATGAGCTGGGATCCTCCTGGTTCATACAGAACAACAGAAAAACATAAGGCTTTGTCTACCTAGTTGGCCATCAGATTTTCAGCAACTTTCATCGTCCAGACGGTCACCAAATGAAATAAAATAGAAAAATCCCTTGAGCAATTCAACAATTGTGAATGAACAGAAGCCCGTGCATTTAATCCTTGAGTTATCTGTTTGCTGAGCCAAGCATGGCATCTGCAGTGGGTGGCCCAGGCTGGCAACAAAAATACCATTTCCCCTTTCTTTGCTTAGGGCACGGCCTGTTTATCTCGTTGCATCAGACTGGAAGGATGAGGGTGGTGGTTTCAGATCTACTGACAGCAATGAGAAATCAATGAGAGTTGACAGGAAGAGAGGACACACACAACAGGCGAAGGAGGAATGCCCAGCAGCTTTGGTACTTGCAGTGCAATACTGGCCTTGAGGCCAAGTCAGTGGGGGATTCGTAGTCACTGACTTCTAACTAAGGCAGGGAAGTCACACTTCTGGAAAAGGTCCAAGGAAACAGGAATAGAGGCAGTATAGCAAGACACGGATTTTTAGTGCCAAATAGCGATTGAATCCTGGTTCTGCTTCTTCCTTTGTAGAGTAGGATATTGATTCTTTCTTCCCAAAGCTATTATAAAGATTAAATATGTACACAAATCTTTGGGATGTCTGACATATAAATGCTTAACAATTGGTACTTACTTGCTGGTATTATTACAAATGAATTTGATTATTTTTGAGCCACTTCTATGCCTGTCCATTAAACCAAAATGTGTTCTTCAGGTGACGATGTATTTATTTCAGAGCTGCACTTTTTTCCTAAACGATCCACACATGGCATCCCTTGGAGGGCAGGACTTGTATTCTTACAGCCTTTAACAGTCTAGCAAGTGTCACTTGTGGCAGTGGCTGTTTAACTTTGCTCTTGTGTTTCCAGACACCAGGATCCCATGTCCTGCTGAGAGAGGTCTGTACCCACCAGGTGCCTTGGGTAGTAATTTGCATGGGGGAACTGCCCATGACCAAGCGCTTGACCTTTTTGAAAGGAAACGTGGATGGGCACTTGACCCCTTTTTTCAAAAATGTCTTTCACTTCTCAAAAAAATAATGCAGTTTTGGAGGAAAGTAGGATATATAGATAATAAAATACAATTCAAGTCACCATAGTCCCACAAGTCAGATAAACACACTATTAATATTTTGGTGACTTTATTTCTAGGCTTTTTTCTTAAAATATACAAATACCTATGCTTACATATTATAGCTATTTTTACAAAATTGGAATCACACTGTACTATATACAAGTTGCTTTGTGATGTGCTTTTTCTACTTTAGTTTCCCATCACTGAACTCTACTAGACTCCATTTTCACCAGTAAAAAGTTGGTTCCATAATTCCTTCTTCAGAGGTTGCTGCAAGGCTGCCATGACTGCAGCAGATGCCAGCAGCATCTGGAGGCAGCTGTCAAGCTGTTAGAGAGGAAACTTCCACAGCCACAGCACTGATCCTGGGCCTGCCATCCCTGGTTTCACCCTTTGTAAGCTGTTTCAGGGCCAGCATGCAGATACTTAGATGGGCCCAACTCTGAATGAGTTAGCAGGGAAATGTATGAGCAAAAGGAAGCCCTGCACCCAGTCCTGGTGCTGGTGCAGCAATGGGTATGTGGAATGGGAAGGCCAGCTGGGACAGGAGCCATGCAGTCCCAGGGAAAGCCACTTTGCCCTCCAGGCTGCAGGAAAGGGCGCCCACAGAGCCACTGGGTCTACTTCCCAGAGAGATCAGAGTTTTCCTTTGGCTTGCCACATGGTGTGGAGCCAAAGCAGGTGGCCAGGTTGTGGGGCTGCCCTGCTTTCCAGACCGGAAGGGCAGGGTCTCGTCTCCTGTGTCTCTCCACAAAGGTCCAGGCCAATTATGGGGACCATAACTGTGTCACCCCCCCAGGGCTGTGGACCCTGCCTGCCATAGATTGAGGCTAAAGCCTAGCAAACCTCCCAGGACTCCATTACTACTGAAGAGAGACAGGCCGGGCTTCTAATCCCAGCTCTGCCAAAGCACCCTGGGTGACCTTTGGCAGTCATGCCACTAAAGCCTGTTTACCTGTGCCGGGTTCCAGTGTGCATTCAATGAGATAACACCTGTGGACACCCAGGTGGAGCACTGGGAGAGAAGTCAACACCCAAAGGCTCCAAACCTGCTGGGCTTTCAGAACCGCTCACTGGCCTCCCCCTCCCAAGACTATCAGGGAGGAACAGAGTGACACGGTTGTCACAGGAATCTGTCCTTTCATGGGAGTCTGGCTGTGCTTTTTCTACACAGTCTCTCTTCGTTCTTGTCCAAGCACCAAAGTCAGCGCTATCATCCCCAGCTTCATAGACGCCTGGCTAACACCTGTGATTGACCTCTGATGGCCATAATTTGCACTTAGAGAGGAGGGCTGTGCTTTGAGGAAGGGTCTCTTTTGGAAGCTCCATAGGGGTCAGGGGTAACCATGTGGTACATCTCAGCTACATGGAGCCTGAAACAGCCAACTGCAGCAACTGGAGCTCAGAAGGTCCAGTTGGCACATGGGAGCCAGAGGTAGGGCCAGAATGCCACCATCCCTCAGCAGGAGCTATCCTAGGGTCATCAGGACCACGGGGCCTCTCCTGCCTCCTGGCTCGTCCAGATCACAACCCAAGGTGAAAAAGCTCAGCTCAGTGGATTTTGAATGGTCTGTGTGACCCAACCCACAGGAGGTGGCCAGTAGCTACAGGGCTCAGTCCCTGCTAAGAGACTTCAGCAGATGAAATTCTTTAAAACCTCCTGGCTAACCAGCATCTGGAGGGGGAGTGGAGAGAAGCCAGCTCTAAGAAGTGGCTGCACACAGGAGGGCCAGACTGTGAGCTCAGCAGGGGGTGGGAGCATTTGTTCTCTTCAGTGGCTGGCAATCCTGTTTTGTAAAGACTCAGATAGTAAATAATTTAGGCCTTGGGACTGTGATGGTGAATTTTGTGTGTCAGTTTGGCTAGGCCATGGCATCCAGTTTTTAGTCAAACGCTAGTCTAGATGCTGCTGTGATGATGTTTTTTTTCGAGACAGGGTCTCACTCTGTCACCCAGGCTGGAGTACAGTGGCATGATCATGGTTGACTGCAGCCTCAACCTCCCAGGCTC